CTGTGGCCTCTGCTGTTTCGGGATCTTGAAACGGGCAGCCGACGTGAGGCAGCCTGAGCGAATAAGGACTGCCGCGCGGGCCATTGAAGGCGGCGGCTGGACCCTTCGGGGAAGACAAAGCTGGACCCTCATCCTCCTTCTTTTTGGGATCCACCTGTTTGCTGCATCGAAGCAGAGCGGAGCCAAATATGCCCTCAGGGAACAATAGGCCATGTCCAAGAAGTCTCTTTTTTCCCGGTCTGGAAGGTTCGTCAGGTCTAAGCCATCTGGCCTCTCTCCCTGTACCACCATTATCTCCCAGTGCTTTGCCCGTAGCTTGGACTGTACAGCGTGCACACCGGAGGCAAATGTCCGTGATCGCTACGATTTCGTCCACACGGCAGGTCTAGGTTGTTCTCGTCATGTTCTCGCAGAGTCCGCCTGGTAGCGCGGTCAGCAGCGGGAGACTTGGAGCGACCGTGGCGGACAAAGCTGCAGCTTTATAGGCTCGTTCAGTTCATTGCTTGACTGGAGAGCGGTCTGCCTGTGGCCGGTAGCGCATGAGGAGTTCCTGCCTCGGTGCCGAAGCCAGCCGGCGGTTGTCAGGTGAGTTTCTGAGCTGCCACCCAGCGGCTTCCATGGCGGCATGCGGAGCAGGCCCGAACTTCTCCATGCCCGTCCACAGTCCAAAGAGGAAGGCACCCTGAATGGGGGCCTTGTTGCCTGAAATGCGCGGTCTCTCCACGATGACCGGACACCCGTCCAGCATCTCTGGAAGACTTGGGAGAAGCTGCCTCTTCCATCCTCCGCTGCTTGGGGCAAAGTTCTTCCCCTCATGACGAGATCTGGAAGGTCCTCCCTTGGCACTTCAGGCAGGGATGTCAATGCCCTGGACCGGCAGCGCATTGGCACACGGCCTGCAAGTCCATACCTAGAGGACAGGTCGCGAAGCTGGTGTGACTTCAGCCCGGGGAGCCGGTACATCGCCTCCCGCTTGCGCCGGAGCAGATGAACGAAGATGTCATCTTCGTGCTCATTCCCGAGTCGGATAAGAGGAACTCAGAGCATCTCTTCATCCCTCCTCCATATAACCAGCTCTAGGACATCCTCCGCGGGTTGAACCCACGGTGAAGCGCCCATTGGGACGCCCCAGCTTGACAACATAGGCGCGGGGCTCCGCTCTCGCGCTCTTGCCCGCCACCGGCCACCGACACGCGCGGGGCTCCGATTTTCCGCAGCTACCGCCGTTGTTGAGCCCCAGCCCTGACACAAGCGCTGGGGCTCAATCATCCGCAGGCGGTCGCCCACCATGTCCCGATGCCCGGCCGGCGGATCAACCGGACATGAAGGGTCCTGTCCCAAATCAGGCTAGCATTGTGCGCTAGCCCGTCGGCGGAGGCCTCTTGATGGGTGAAGCGGCAGCCACAAGCCCGCACGAACCGGGGGTATCGATAGCTTCCTGGGCGTGTTTCACAGCCCCAAGGCAGGACACAGACCTGGTGTGAGTCCGTGTCCCCCGGAGATCCTTAAACCCGCAGCCGCAGAGCCGAAGCATCCGACGCCTCGACTCCTCTGGTGTGACGGGAGAGAAGGGTCCATCCTAGTTTGCCCGGTGGTGGTCCGCCCGGAGGGACAAGCTAAGTAACAGGCTATCGTTACCGAAAAAAATCCCAACCTTTATCGTTATTCCGAAGGAAAAAACGACGCGCGGTAGATTTTCTTTAAAAATAATTACCTGGTGTTAAATATCTTTCTTATCTCGGCGTCTCCTCCGGTATGGAGGGAGAGAAGAGTCCGTCCTCTACCTCGGCCGTGGTGTCGGCAGCGGAGGGATATAACTAGCAACAGGTAATCGTTACCTGTTTGAATGAAAAAAATCCAAACCTTACCGTTATTTCGAAAGAAAAGACGGCGGAGATTACAATATTAACGACTGCGGTGTCGTTGATATTCCTGTCAGTTGCCTCTGCAAAGCAAAAAGTAACGCGGCAAGCGCCCCGTCCGACCCGAGATGTTACGCTTGGGTCAG